GCCTGGGGCAGCGGCTGGGGGGGAGCACAAAGACCCCAGGGCATCACGCAGCAACAAGCAGCCAGCAGGGCAGGCAGGACTGGAGTCCTCCTTACTGCTGCAGAGGAGACCACCAGCGAGCAGTGCGAGGGGAGGAAAAAGAAAAGGTCCCCCCTCGAGCCCTTCCCCTGCCACGGGCAGGAGCCCGAGCCCAAGCCCAAGGCCGGTACATGCCTCGCCTGCGGGAGAGATGCTGCTCTCACCTCAGGTGGCGGCTGGAGAGCAGAGGAACGAGCCAGTGCTTGCCTTGATCGCAGCACTGCACAAGGGAGCCTTCCCACCTCCTTCGCGGCTGCAGCCTCGGGCAGCGGCTTGCAGCCCTGCCGGGCAGGCAGCTCCCAGGCAAGGTTTAAGCTAAGGAGAAAGTGAAACTCATGGCTGGAGCTGCCTCCTCTGGATCCCAGCTAGTCCTGACAGCAAAACCAGCAGCCCCTCAGCAGCGGTGGGTTGGCAGAAGCATCTCAGGCACCCACCACCACCTCAACACAAGAGCAACACTTGCTCAAGCTGGACGCGGCCAGAGGCTCCTGAGCAGACACTGGGCTCTCCCACTCTGGCCCTCGCAGCTCAGATTTGTGGCTTCAGCGAGCCCGGCTCCACGCTTGAGCTGGCGAGTGTCCCTCTTCCCGAGACCAGGGGCAGGACCTGGAATGCGATAAGAACCAACAGCGGTCACGGCGGAGTAGGCACACCGCTCCAACCAGCAGTGCCGACGCGGTCGTGTACGTGCAGAGGTCGGAGCATCACCCGCATCCGCAGCTCTCGGGGACCATGGCACCTGCGCTGCCCATTCCTGGCAGCCACCGCTCCCGTGGCGAGCGGGAGTCCCCCCAGCTCAGCCTCCGCAGGGCACGCCTGCATGAATCACTGGCTAGATGTCGTGCCTCGGGCAGTGGGGACTGCCCACCGACTGTCATCGCCAACATACAGTTTGGAATTGCCTCTCCCCTCCTCCGGCTGAGGGCTGCCAGGCACCTGGAGGCCACCGATGTCACTTCAGGCACACGCTGCCACCGCTCCACCAGCCTTCTTCAACCCTGCACCGTCCCGGCAAGCCTCGGGTGGAAGGAGCGCATCCACTCACAAGGTGGGGGAGCAGGAGCGCAGCGCCACAGCCGTGTCCTGCAGCCCCCTCGGACCGGTTGGTGCAGTGGAAGCTGGAATGAAATTCTCCAAGGAGAGCAGGAGTGCCTGCCTGGAAGCCGGCCAGCCTAACCGGGGCGCTTGCAATCTTACACGCTCACTGAGAGTCAGGGTTGGTGTCTGGGCACGAAGCCTCGGGACAAGGCGAGGGAGCAAAGCTCCGAGAGTGGACACTGCAGTGCTGGGGAGCCATAGAAATGGTTCTCCAAAGGAGGCGCGTGTGAAGGATGAGCGTCCTACGGTTTGGCACCATTGCAAAACAAAATTCATTTGTGGGCAGAGGGAAATAAGCTGAAAACAGTCCCCTTGCAAGAAAGACTTGTAGTATTGAAGGGCAATAGCTGCTGCCCACCAGGATTTGGGATGCCTTGGTCTAAAAAACCTCCACCCCAATGAGCAGCATGGCGCTCTGCAGAGCACAGAAGCAAACCAACCACCACCGAGGTTTCTCAGGCTGGGGTGGTTTTGTGGTTTGTTGTTTTTTTTTTTTTCCCCTCCCCATTCAGGAACTTGAGCCAGAGCCCTACGTTGGCTGCAGCTGGAAAACAGCCTGTCCTGGGGATATCTGGCAAAGCATCAAGCACGCCAGTTCCCTAGCTACGCGGTTGTCACAACTTTGGCAGCACACTTTAACCTTTATGCTTTTCATGGGTAGAGGCTCTCTGCACAGCCGAGCCCTGCCCGTTCTCCAGGAAACCCTACACCCTGTCTAAATCGAGCGGCAGGGCAGGCGAGAACAACATCCCCAACCTGAATCCCAGCCGTGCCACTGTAACACAAGCCAGGCAGCCTGCCCCGCTGGGGACCAACCCGGGCACGCGGTCGGCAGCTTAACTGCTTCCATCAGCACCCAGGACTTCCCCGGACCAGCTGCCATTGTGTCGCGACAGGTCCCGTCAAGGTGATGGGGAAAGACAAGGAAAAAAAAATCCCATCATTAAAAGAGCTTCCAGAGCTACGCGGCATCTCGAGGACAGCAACGCGGCGGCCAGCAGCCACACCAGGGAGCACCGAGCGCGGACCTGAATCCCCAGGACCTGCCCACGCGCAGGCTGTCCTTGCCAGCTTCATGCCAGGCCACGCTGGCAGCCAGCAGAGAGGCCAGCGAGAACCAAAGCTGTGGTTTTGAGAGCACCCGTCAAGACTTTTCATAGGAATCTCGTTCACCATCTAATAAGATCTTGCAATTCTCAGCTACCCTTCAACATAGAAGTCCAGAAAAGCGTCGGCTGCCTTTTCGTTCCAGCTCTAGTCTGAGTTGAGCAAACGACTTTGGTAACGACTCACCTAGAAATGCATCAGAGGCAGATTTTGTACCCAGCTCTCCTTGATGACCCCTCCTTCCAGCCCCACTTGCTCTCAAGGCACACTCACATAAAGGTGATGAGTTTTGAGTTCTTGAATACAAGAATATTTTTGCGAAATCCACACAGCAAGAACATAGATTTTTACATCAGTTTGCCAACCTACCCTAAAGGCGCGTGCTGAGACAGCACTGGGTTAAATCCCGGTCTCCTGCTCCAGTCCTGTAATTTTATCCTCCCACTTCTACTCTGCTGGGACTGGGAAAATCAGCTGCCACTGTATTGCTGTTGAAGCCTTAACCGAACCCCGTCCTCAGCAAGACTCAGCTCCTCCAGGACACCCATCATTTACACATCTTCTACACCAGAGCAGTTTTTCCAGCATGTCACCACTTTCCCCTAATTAAGAGGGCAGGTTAGACTAACCACCCACCAGCCTGCGAGAATCCTCTGGGTGACTCCAGCGAGCTCTGCCAAACGCCCGATACCCTTGTAGGGCACGGCAGCCCGAGGGTCCCTTTCACTAAGTTTGCAGCGTATGAGGACTATAAGAGGCCCTGTTTGCGGGAAGAGGTAATATCTTTTATTAGACCCAACGATACCGTTGGGAAGAACCCACAGGCCGTCAGGCATACAAACCCTTCCTCAAGTCCGACGCAGAGGCCATGTAGGGCCGTCACGGAAATCCAGTTGCTCCGTCCTTCAGGGACTGGTGTCTGCTCCAGCTCAGCAGCCTTGTTATCATGCCTGCCTTTACATTCTTCTGCAGCTCATCGTCACTCAAGGCTTTCCTCTGACTCTCCATAAATATTTGCGGCTCCTGCTGCCCCCACTCCGCCCGCTCCAGAGGAGCTGGCACTCAAGGCCGCACAAGTTTCCTTGACTGCGCATTCAAGGTCCTGCCACGTCCCCGTCCAGCGGATCACGTGGAACAGCTCCACTGCCGCAGGAGTAAGGTTAAGACAGACCGAGGGGGGAAATCCGCGTGCCTTTGGGTCAGACCCACGCAGATCCGAGGGGTTTGCGGGAAGAGGATGCTTCCAAGCTCCTCCCGCTCCAGTCATTCCTGTAATTTGCACGTCAGCAGGGCTGTCGCATTTACCTGTGACAAACAGCCTTTCGGCCAGGCTGACCCTCAGCTCAGCGACATGGGGCCGTCGGCCAAGTCAGCAAAATGCAGCTGAAGCAGGTCAACCTTTCGGGCCCGGTTCTGCCACAGCCACAAAAAGGTCCTCAAGAGAAAGGAAGGAAAAGCCGAAACTTCGGCAAAGAGGAGCCTCGTCTCTTGGCTCACAGTTCTGAAGAGGCCGCGCTGTCACGGGGTCATCCATCCTTTAGTGCCAACATGCTTCCTCCAAATACCTTGCCCTCCAGTTCCTCAGTTAACTGCACAATACCTTTATTTTTATTCTTTTAAAGAACCCTTATGTTTCGGTGGGGGTGACTTTTCCTCTCTTTCAATCCAAGCAGAGTAGAAGTCTGAGGCTGGTGCTCTTTGAGGCGCTGAAGTTCCGTACGGCCATACAAAACACTCGCTGCTGGCTGCGGCGGCCGTTCTGCAGTGGTATCACTTTTTAGAACTCCTGCAGAAACGTCATCCTCAGGTACAATAAATGTTCGTCTTTGAATTTAGCGCTCCAAGGACTTTCTGCCTCTGTTCTGTCTCTCAGATCAGGAGTAAGACACTAGAAATTGCTTGATACTGTCTCATTATCGTTGCCAAAGTGTACCTCTTACCCTACGCCTTGGCTGGAGTCCGACACCTAACAAGTTTGAACTCCCTCTCTTCTCCACCCAAACAAAAATCTGAATAAAAGGCCACACACTCTAAGAATACTCCTCCAATGGTATCCAGATTCGGAGGAAATGAGAGCAAATGTTTTCCATAACCCCCAAACAAGAAACAAGAGTTTGTCCTACCGGGACACATTAATTCTGTTTCCCATGTTTTCCTCTGTTCAGAACAGCACCACAACAACAGTGAGCAGCCCAGCTCACACGGGTTCCCGCAAGAGACACATAAACGTGGGAGAGGCAAAGCCTCCATCGCATTACAGCCACGAGAAGCCAAGCCAGCCCAAAGAGCTTTATGTGTTTCCGAGCCTCAGCTAGAGGGGGCTTGCTCTCGTTCCTTCTGCCGACGGCTTCAAGCACAGCTCCAGTGCTCTGCCCATACCAGCCTTTTTTTTTTTTTGCAAGTCCCTTTTCGGCTCAGGAAACAGCACCACAGGATCACCTGAGTTAGCAGAACAGGTAACAGCAAGGCAGACCTGTCAGCAGCAGCCTCCGAGAGCATCATTTGGAGCAGTTGTGTCCCTAACCCCTCCTTGCCCTCACACGGCCTTTTGGAGTTACCTTTCTTGTCAGGACAAGTCCAAGGAAGGGCCTAAAACACAGTCTTACAAGGTAAGAAATCATATCACAACGCTAAGGTAAGAAATAATTCTTAGTAAATTTAAATCTAAACTCGATCACCTCTTCACAGTGCTGGAAGCTCTGTCCTCCAGCACATTAGAGCACTTGGTCTATATTTAGTTCTGCTAGCTGCGCTAGACTGGCTAGGAGACGATGCGTCTTTAGCCAAGATAACTGCGCTGGCAGGAGCCAGGGAGGCAGCTTACAGCAAGTCATTTGCCAGTTAAGTGGTTCCCCAAATAGAATGACTTCAGCTATAAAACAGCAGAAGGTTTAATGCTCTAATATACACAGGGAACTACTTTAAAGTGTGGGCAAGATTCATATTAGCACTCATCTAAACATCAACAAGAAAGGTCAGACCTGCAATATGCCAGCTTGCAGAAGCCACATTACACAACCTCAAGCTTAATATATACTAAAAGCCTAAGAAACAGACACTTGAAACCAACACTTAGATGTACAAAGACAAACCGGCTCTTTCAGACGCACACACCCCTGTGTGTTCATCAAGTGCCCTTTACCAAAAACTCTTCTGCAGGAAAGGGATTCAGCCCACTAGCAAGAGACAGCGATCAGATTAGGAGTTTTTATTTAGTTCCATTATAAAATATTTGTATACAATATCAAAACCTGGTTTAGTTTTTAGAGAACAAGAAGTCTAGATGTGAAGCGAGGCCGTGGAGACTGTATGGCACTGCCTGTACGCCGTGCCTCAGCCACCTGCCTCAGGTGGAGTTAAACTACTCAATATAACAATAATGGAACCAAGTGTAGAGCTGAGACTGAGCAGTCACGTAAAAACAACTGTTCCCTCTCTGCCTGTCAAGAGATTAGAGAAGGATGGGATCTCCCTCCTACTATCACGTGGTTGCATATCAGCATCGGAATCTATCCGAGAAGCTGGGAGA